ACAATATATGATGTAAATATTTAATTTTATTTCTGAAATATATTTTTTATTAAATAAAGATAGTTCTTTTCGCTAAATGACTTGTATAAATAGAGAGTAAATTTTCAAATTTTGTATAATACTTCTAACGAAATCATCTTATTTAAAAAAAATGATTGTAACTTTTTTTGAGCATAATTACACTATACCCATTTTTCAATTTTGGTGTGAATTTGATGTGTTTGAAGATATAGTAAGTAATATAGGAAAAGAAAATGTAGAAGTCCCATTTGTCAATGAAAGGGATGAAGAGATATATATTGATGAAAACTTTGTCACGACAGTTTGCGGGTACTTTCTTAAAATTCATTGATTCCTGAACGAGGTAAACATTTTGTTTAAATGTGATGAAAAGATTTGAATTACGTTCTCAAATATTTATTTTTCTAAAGTTCTAGGCAAGCCTGATTTAAAAATTACCGAACTTCGTGTTTCATATAAAGATTTTGAAGAAGAAGAAAAAGAAAAGTGATGGTTGTCATAGTATTTTACAAGAACGATTATGAAAAAATACGTTTTACATTGGATGAAGTTGTATTCTCGCTATTTATCAGAGTATTCATGATGCATCCCGATTTCAATGATTATACCCTTGATGAACTTTATGTTATGAAAGAGTTTGTTGAAAAGTTTTGGGACTTATGTATTAGACATGGATATGTAAGCAAAGATATTGATGTAATTCCTGATAAAATGACAACAACATAATTTTACTTTTTAAATATATTTTTATAACTACAACATATTTGAGTATTTTTCTTCTCATTTTTACATTTTCTTGCGTACACTTTTTTAATTCTTGGAAAAAACATTTTAGATAAACTTAACAATTTTTTATCATTATCTAAAGTCGAATTATGATTAATTACATTTAAAATATTCATTTTTAAACATTTTTGTAACAAAAAAACAAACACCAAACCCCACAAGTAGTTGTATTAATATTTTGACGTCTTTTATAAGAAAATATTTCAAAATTTAATTTTTTATCAGTTGCAAATTTTTTCCATCTTTTATTTTTATAATGTTCTGGAGTTAATCCAAAACTATCAAAAAAATATAAATTTTTTCCATTTTTCCACGCTGCTACCCAATGTTGACCTGGTTTATCACTAGTATCTGTATTCCATATCCATCCACCTTCTTTAAAATCTATTTTCGGGTAATAATCAGCTGGAAAAACACCTTTGAATTTTTTTTTAATAATTTTATTATTATTTCCCAAATTTATTAAATTATCAGTTGTTAAAAACTTTTCCAACATACATTTTATATCCATTTTTTTATATATCAAATGTTTTACTTTCTCTCAATGTTTTTCGTCGAGAAAAATTAGAAAAACGATGAGGCGTAGAACTCCCTAAATTTAAAGACGGTTCAGGAGTTAATAATCGTGGTATACGTGTAGATGACGATGTTGAAGGAGGAGATAGTAGTGATGAAGAAGTAGATAAAATAGGTATTTGTGATGAACTTCGTCTTCTAGTATTGCTTGCAACAGAATTTATATACATCTCCTTAATTTTATTATTTTTAATATATGAAACAGGCATTCCTTTTCTTTTCAATTCAGGTAAAATAGATCTTAATTCATGTTCTTTGAGATTTAATGTTTTTCTATTAGATATTAAATCATTTACTAAATCAAAGTAGGTAAAATTAAATTTCTTCCCATTTATTTTAAGTCTTTTTGTTTATGCCCTGATTATTAAAAATCTTGAAATTAAATTGTGATGTTGTGCTTTTGAACCCTCGTTATTATTGGTGTTTTAAAGGAGTACCCCACCATCTATATTTAAGTATCACCATCATCCATTATATCATCTGTATCTACAACGTCTCGTTTTCAGCTCGTCTTAAATCACTCGCTTTATTCAAAAAATTAATTAAATTTCCTTTTCTTTTACTTTTTCTTTCTTTTTTTAATATATTATATGCTTTTATTACTTCATGTCTTTTGTATTATTAGTTATCCCATTAATTAAATCATCTTCCTCACGTCTTCTCTTCAATTCTGCTAATAATTTATTTATTTGACTTGTGTCAACAAGACCAAATTTCTCAACACTATCATTTACCATTATTTTTAATTATGTTATAAGCATCTTCTAATAAGTACCCTGTTTGAACATCTTCACATAATAAATGTTTTATATCGTCACTATGTTTTTGTTTTAAACTTCTTAATAACATTTTCTTATGAAATGGATTTATTTCTTCATGCAAAATTATTTTATCATTTAAAATATTTTTAAAATAAAAATCAAATTTTAAATATATTCTTATTTTAATTAATTTTATTCTATTTTCTACTCTAGAATTAATAAATAATTTCAAACTTGGAATAATGTTATTTTTTTCACTTTTTTTCTTTTGTTTTGAAAATTCGACTAATTTGACAATTGCTTTTAAAACCTCTTCATTTAAAATATTTTCTTCATCATCATCATCTTCATCATCATTATCATCGTTATCATCATCAAATTCATATTCATCATCATCATCATCATCAGAATCAAATTTTTCTTCATCAAATTTATTTTTTTCTTTAATTAAATTCTCTTCGTCTTTAACAATTTTTTCTGCATTTTCTTTATTATCTTCATTTTCCATATCATATTTTCCCCATTCATTTACATTTTCTTTATCATCCATTATAAATAAGTAGGGTTTATTACTGGATCAACGTGTATAATTTGTTTTTTTAATGGAAAATCAATATCAATTACTTTTAAAGTTTTTCTTTTAAATTTTTTCTTTCTCTTTAATTTATATAATTTTTGTTCTTCTCATGTTGAATACACAACAATAATAACAAAATTAAAATCGATATTCAAAATATATAGGATTTTATATCCATAATTCATTTGATTTCTAAATTCTCCAAAAATATCATCGTATGTGCTTCAGTTAATGCTTTTTTAAATTAATATCAAATCCGAAATCCCTGTATTCTGACCCGATAAAACTTCGGTGAAACTATCTTGATTAGGAGATAAATCAAACCGATAATTCCACATTCAGACTTAAATCGTGCGTAATCAAAATTCATTTTTCATTTTTTATTTAAAATTTTCTTTAAATTCCAATATGCTTCTTTTCGACCGTAATACTCATGTGTTACTGCACGGTTAGTACGTGCACAACAATAACGGAAATTCAATAAATTATATAAGTGACAATTGAGTTGATGTGATCCATTAAATCTTGTTGTTTTTTGAAAAACTATAAAAACTCTTGATGGTAAACCCCCAGTGAATACATCATAACAGTTGATTGCTTGGGATCCAATAGGAAGAGTTTTTGTAACAACTCTCATATTATTTACAAAATAATGACACTCTTTATTTTCTTGTATCAGTTTATTATTTATGGCTCTACTCAATTGTTCATTTGGTTTAAACATTCTAGTATTTATCTTAAAATCTTTAAGATGAATATCATAATTTTGGGGATTATCAGCAGCTAGACCCATCAAATAATTTGTTTTATCTGCTCTTGCAAATTGAAATTTCAAATCACTAGCTGATGTAATCCATGTTGTTTTACCATATCCATTTATCAAAGTCATATCAAGTTGGTCTATAATTTTGCAAGTCTTATTATTTATAAGCTTTACTCGTGCATTTTTCCCATTTAAATCAGCTCGATCATTATTACCCGTATTATCCGCAATTTTATTTACTATCCATTTTTCCACTCCCATCCAATATATCCAGATTTACAGCTCCTAAATCGCCACGTGATTCATATGGTGTATATAAATAAAATACGAAATTCTATTATACTGATTAGTAATGTTATTTACTAAAACATCATTAATATATAAATTTATATTACACCACATGTTAGTTAGAGGTCTTGGATAAACGCATATGTTTAAATTATTAAATATAGTACCAGCCATTAATTTTATTCTACCACTCATATCAAAGTCATCAGTTCTCAATAAACCATATTCGGATTTTGACATTATACATTCGAATTTTTTGCATAAGGTTCGTCAGGTTCGGGATTTAAATAAATAGGTCTAAATTCTAAAATGTGTGATTTCGAGGAACTGGTTGAAATAAATTTAAATTACTGCTTACAACATGATCATTTTATCAATTTCATTTTCACTAACGCTTGCCATTTTTTATTATTTTTGTTAGTTAGAACTTCACACTACCAACAAAAGATATAAAATGAAATGATAATTTTTCTAATAGCTTATAAATATATATATTTACAAGAAATTTAATTTATTTCTGCAAAAAATTCAATAAATCATCATCAATTCTCTTTCTTTTTCTCTTTGGAAAATCTTTTTATTTTCCTTTCTTTCTCTTTTACAGTATATTCTGATAATTGTTTTTTAATAAATTATTAAGTGTGACATCAGTTAAACCCGTAGGTGGACAAATTCCTTTTTTTTCAGTGATGGAACTAGATTTATATTTTATATAATTAAAATGTGGACTACAATATTTCATTCCATTACCCTCTAATACATTTCCATAATATTTATACAGATCATTTTTCTTTCTTCATTCATTTTTTCTTCAAATTTTAAGTCCAGAAATATATCTAGTTCTTCGTTGGTGATATAGTTATTATCTGAATCATCGTACTCCAATTCAAATAATATATATTTTGAAAATAGAATCGAAGGAGCTTTTTCATATTCCATTATTTGCATTGATTGCAAATTAAAATTAGCAACAGCATCTAATTTGGCTAATCCTCCATTTAAATATAAAAATTTTTTTATGCAATAATAAAAAAATTTAATATTATTCGGTTCGTTATTAATATTTTTTATACTATCTGGTATACAATTTTTCACATTAGTTAAATCACCAAGATCTGGTATTTTTTGTACATTTTCACTTGAATTAGTAAAAAAATCATATGGTTATTCCATAGTTAAATCTTTAATAAATGAAGAAATTAATTGTTTTTTTATAATTGGAGGGGTGTACACAAACAAGTCGTCTCCACTTTCATCTGCATAATGTAAAGGGACAATACATAACAATTCACTTCTTGAATCACCAACAATTTCACTATCAATTTTATCACAATATTTAAACATTTTATTTAACCCAATTGTCTCATCAGGAAGATATGGAAAATGAAATATTTTAATTTTTTAAAATTTACGTTCGCTAGAATCAAATCCAGAATCAAATGTATATTTTATTTCTTCTTTATCCAACCCAACATAAAACTTAATTTTTTGAAAAGTCAATTTAAATTCCAAGGTATTATTTCCTGTAGCATAATCAATATATTCTATTTTGTTCATTACGGGTTGTGTCCAAATATAATTTTAAAATCATATTTTTACCATTTTTGATATAAGATTCTTTCCTGACCATAGTAACAAGTATATTCATTTGTTAAAATTATATTATTTTTTCCATTTTATTATTAAAAAACATTAAAATCGTTTAAATAATCATTTAAAAGCGCTAAAATTTTTTATTGTTATATATTCCAGATGGTATTTTAATTCTTGGTAAATTAAACTTCAAAATTGATATAAACTTTTATCTATATTTTTAGTGGTATCATCCGTTTGAATAAAGTATTTTGAAAAATTTAATTCCAAATCACACCAGCATTCATCTTCATTAATATTTTTTGCTGTTTTGGATAAAAAACATTTAACACAGATATGTATTTTTTATTATTTATTGCATCAATTTGACCCGGTAATGTTGTGGTAAAATGATTAATATAATTTTTTCACCATTTTTATTATTAACATTACTAATTAATGTAATATTTTTCATTTTTAAACCTTTTTAATTCTTCACGATAAAACTTCCTTGAATTTCTCACCGTTGTTATCACAAAGCTTATAAGTAACAGGATCCGTCAACAAAACTTTATTTATATAAAAAATCTCATTAACCCACTGTCTTAAACTTTCCTTTTCAAAAATATTATTTTTAATTCTTGAAATTTGCACTTTAAATTTTTATCCCTTTTTTTTGTATAAAATATTAGACAGTCTTTTGATGTAATTTATTTTTTTTCCACCTAAATAGACATCATATGGTGAAAGATTATCGGAAAGTAATCCATGATGAGGAGATTCGTTATATCTTTCCACAATTAAATGCAAGTATTTTTTATAATTAAAATTTTTTTTTCGCTTCTCGTTTGCAACAAGTCAATAGTTCTTCTAATCATCTGTTTTATTGTTCGTATAAATCTTTCAGCATGAGTAGCTTTAATTTCACGATTATAGGTATTATAAATTGTAAAATTATATTTTTTTGATAATTCTTTTCGAATCCCTTGAAATTCACTTCCCTCGTCCGATACTATTTTTTTAGGAAATTCATTTTCTTTCAATAAAATATCTTCAAATTTTTTCATAACATTTTTACTAGATTTATTTTGTAATAAACGAACAAATGCATATCTTGAATACACATCGACTACGCATAACAAATATCGCAAATTATCATTATATCTTGCCAAATCTTTCATTTCAGCTAAATCAATACTCCACAAATCATTTTTTTTCCATATATTTATATTTAATCGATTATATTTTTTCTTTTTCTTTTGATACAAATTATATATACTTTGTTCATTATCTTCTAAATGTTCACCTTTTAATAATCTTGCTGCTTTTTTTATAAAATCGTCATTAATTAAATTAGTCTTCTTCGTTCTCCTCATCGTCATCTTTTACAATCGTTGGAAGAGGGTGATGATAATCAAGCACTGAAAGAAAAATGTCATTATATATTCTTTCGATTTCATCATTTCCATATTTTTTATAAATTTCTACAAAATCATATTTCTTTCCCATTTTTTCCTCTAAAATTTCATTCATAATTTCGCTATGATAAACAACGCAATCATATATTGAAATATCCAATTTATTAGAAAACTCTTTCAACATATAAATAGCTTCAATATCATTATCAATTTCAATGTCATTACCATTTTCAATATCATCTCCATTTTCATTCATTTTTCTTTTTTTTCTTGGTACAGTTTTTGTCTTTTCTTTTTTACCTTTTTTTTCTTTAACTTCCTTTACTTTGGTTGTTTTTTTCTTCTCTTCTTCACTTTTTAATAAACCACGACAAGATGCAACAAATTCTCGCAATTTTTGTGATATAGATTTTAAGTCGTCATCTTTTCTGAAATACACTTTGTAAAATTCATCCACCCAATCAATCATCGAAATATCATTTAGATCACTTGGTTTGAAACATTCATCCCACTCATCATTATCATCATCAAGACAAATAGTTACACTTTCATCAACAGTACGAGATGATTTTTGTGTTTTTAAAATAAGTTTTCCTGATTCACGTTCCAAAATAACACGTTTTTCGTTAGATGAAAACAAAACTTCATAAAAATCTTCACCTTCATCTTTATTAGCAATTTTGTTCAACGCATTTGCTAATTTTTCACATGCTTGCAAATTCATTTGCAATTCGTCTTTACAACACAAACCATCATTGTATGGAGAGTAAACAGATTTTGAAAAAAACATAACTTACTAAAACGATTAAAACTGCATACTTTATTTCCAAGGATTGCTTTTCCATTAGTATAGCTTTGTAAAACTGTTACCAAATCTCTAAAAGTTTTTTTATAAATGGTAAACTCTTGAGCCATTTGTTTTATCTTTTCCTTAAAAAACTTATATCGATGTGTTGTTTGAAAGTATATGAAATCAAATGATGCAAAACATGAAAAATAAAATGAATATATACCCTACCAAAAATCGACAATTTTTTATTTTTTACAAAAAATCAACAAATTTTTTTTACAAAATTATCAACAAATGTTTTTTCATTAATTCCATTCCATTTTTGTTATATTAATATATGGTCCCTTAAAAAAATATAATTCTTTACCAATATTTTTTTCTATATATTTTTGTTCATTTATATAAATATTATTATAGTCTCTGAGATATGATTTATATTTTAAAATAAAATTATAAATTTTTTTTTGATCAATAATTTTCAACTCGTTATTCTTTGATAAAAAGTCAACAATATAATTTTTAGAAAAAATTTTTTTAAAAAATTTTTCGTCGAATTGAAACAAATAAATTCCATTAAAATAACAATGAATTAAATTATTCCCATTCATCATCACCACCAATACAGATAGTTCCTTCTTCTAACAAATACGTATTTTTCATAAATTTCTGTATCTCCAGAATTTTCTTTTCTTGGTATTTTATCTTTTTCATAAATCCCTCTTCAATAATATAACAGTGATAACAAATATACCACGAAAAAATTAATGAAAAAAATAATAATGTCACAAGAAACGTTATAATCATTTCATCTACGAGGACTTCCATCAAATAAAATCTTTAATTCCTGTAGAGATCCTGATCCAAAATGTCCTGAAGATCAAGAAAAATTGAGCCAAAATGATGTAGGTGAAAATATTCAAAATTTTTAAAAGGAAACTTCCATACAGCTTTATCAATCGTTTATTAAGAAACTCCTCTACAAAGAGCTTCCATTCTCAACATCTTCATCTACCAATTTTCAATTATTACACCAATCTTTGAACTTCTATGAAACTTATATACAGGTTTTCCCTGATGCTTTTACGAAACGTGAGTTGAAAAGTATTCGTTTACATTGTCCTTCTGAACAATGCAAATGTTTTGGCTCCTACGAAGAATTGGAAGTGAGTTGAGTTGAGTTGATAAATTTATTAAAAAAGTTTGGTATTTTTACTTATTAATTTTTTTTGTCAGGGTCATTATCAAGTTTGTGAGCATGCGCTCATCAGCTGCGCATAAGTGTAACATTCAGTTACCTCGCTCTCTCCTTGGTGAACATTTGAAGAATGAATGTGAATATCGCAATGTGAAATGTGAATATTGTGGTAAAGATGTCTCGCATGCTTTACTTAAGGTATGCGGAATATTCTCAGGCGGATTAAAGGAAAATAGAATTGAGATATAGCCAAAAGTGCTAATCTGTATTCATTACGATGTATTTATACACGTTATTAAATAGATTAGTTTGTACTAATTGCCTTGCTTACTTTCAAATGTGTTAATCTTTGTTTAGCTCTGTTCAAAAATTATTCGTCTCCTTTTGTCAATAACGAAGAATATTGTGAAATGTTTAAGTGCAGGTAATTTTCTTTTGAATCTGAACTTTGTTTACTTATAAAAGGAACTTACCTTTATCTTTTATGTAATACTTATTCGAATATTTATGTCGTGTGATTACATTATCTGTTTTTGTAGAATTTGGTTGCTCGTCCTGCGTATGTTAAGACAAAAAGTCTATTTACAAGGTTACACGACAACGGATGACATTCAATTTCTGAACATCATTGTAAAATATTACCAAACTTTTGGTTGAAACGCGAGGAAGAAAGAAGACTTGAAGAAGTCGAAAATGAAAGCTTATACAAGTTTAAAATGCAAACGTATTGTGAGGACGAGTTGTCCGAAGTTAATCTAAATCAGATGCAAACGTGTTGTTAGGACGAGTTGTCCGAAGTTGAGCTAAATCAGAAAGATATCGAAGAAATATTTACAAGGTTTGATGATGATTTCAAAGAACTTGAGTCAGCGGAAAAACAAGAACTTTCAAATGGCAGCGCGATGAATACAATCGAGAAGAAGACGATATTGGTGTTTTAGACCTAACACAGTTCTGTAATATGCATCAGTTCATATTATGTTGTGCTCCCAATGTATGCGATGTGTTTTCAACCTTTAATAACAAAGATTATCTAAAGGTGGATGAAGAAAGAGATGCGTTTGAAATCGTGTTTCACCGTTATAACATTTCTTCTGAAGTGGTCGCACTTGCTGATTTATCCGGTTTGTACAAGAAGGATATTTCTTTGTTTTGTACGGTTTATACTTTAGCCTAGAAAGAGACTGTCTTCAAAGGGACGAATACATTGAATTTAGCAAAGTTTTGTATTATACAGATGTTGATTTACAGGACGATAGTTCTCCCAGCCATCTCATTATGAGCTCGATGTTGATGAGATATTTGTCTAGCCATGAAGAAGGAGCTAAAATTAAGGTGATTAGTGCAAGACCCCTTTTTTATGTTTTATTAGCTTGAGTTGTCAATCACGTTTATTACTTTAAATTATAGCATCAGTTCATGAGTTCTTTGTTCGAGAAAAGGTAAAGCGTTGCGCGTATCACATAGCATGCTTAATATTCGTCTTTTGTGGCTGAGAGTTTACATTTTACAGAGGTGAAGAATACGATATTTACCACGACAGCAATTTAAAGGAAACTGTAAAAGTTGTACCGATACTTCTACGCTTTAAGACGAGATTAGAGCAACTGCTTGTTGAATGGCCGGAGCATCCAACGCTCGCTCAGGTAAAGAAGAGACTCGAGATCGAAGCAAATCCTGTGAAATATTATATTGGTTTTTCAACTTTATCGATTCTTATTTTACAGTTGTGTCGAACCATCGAGCGTATTCTTTCATTTTCTGTAACAAGTCCTGTAATGAAAATTCTTAATGGTTTAGAAATCTTGTTAAAGTATTCACAGGTAAAGAAAACACTGTGAATTGTGGGTATGACTTATCATCTATTGTACTCTAATGTCTCAGTACTGTAGTCGAGTTACGTCATTATATTACATGATAAAATGTCCCTGGTGTACTTGTATGTACTTTGTTGTCATGTAAGGTCATGTATATAATGTTCCTGATGTATCCAAATGCTTGAACAATCGTTTTGATTTCAGGAGTGGGAATGTAATGCCAGTCGCCATGTTTCCATAAGAATCAATCTGAATGAAGTCACCCAAATGATTATCCAATAGAGAAAGTTAGAGTTAAGGTAAAGTTAGATAAGTTCAAAAAATTTCTGAAGAAGCGTGCTAAATGGAGATGGTAATTTGTTTCAAGGTGCTGGTCTTCTTTGTTGCGAGTTTGTGAAGTGAACGTGAGCGATAGAGCCAATCATTGGTGGTTTCATCTTCATCACGTGATCCAGGAATTTTCCGCACTAATGAACAAGCGGATTGCACGGAATTCATCAATATCTTACAGCAGTTTATTTAGAAATCGTCCATAGGAGAATTTTGTCATAGATTAAACATGCTACGGGCCTTTCATTCTCAGAAAATGTTGGACGATAATTCAGGTTTACACACTTAACGGGTTTTGTCGCTTTGAATATGGTGACATCTGGAGTTTTTTCTTAATGTTTTTTTTCTAGATATCGTGTTGATTATACTGTGGAACGTATATTGTTACTACAAACAATTTCAGGCGCAAGTGAATGATTTTATTCAGAAAGCAAAGACTCCGATCGAGAAAGAGTTGAAGGTTGTGTATAATTTATTGATATTTTTGCCTCCTTTGTATTGTAAGCAAAATGTGAACTTACAGTTCTTGAGTTACTTCATAATCATGAATTCTTGATAGGATTTCATCAAGATTATCAAGTGGAAAGACATCAATTATTGGGCAATGAAGGAAACGTCGTCAAAGTCTCATTATACTTTGCTGAAATTCATGAAAAATACAGAGTAAGTTTTTTCAAGTTCTTAGAAATGATTCGTGTAGAATATGTACAATATTTTATTACTCTCAATTTCATGCATGGCTTTCTCCGTGTTCTGCAAGTATGATTGTATGACAGCTTTTTAGATAATATAGTCATGTTTAGTGGAAAGTTGTCTAGCAACTTTGCAATATAGTTATGTGCCGAGCGATGAATATGAGAACAATACTTCTATCTCAACTTTTTTGGGATTCTTTCGATGTATCTGAAACTTTGGGCTTGGTTTGTATTCCAGGCTTCACATATTTTACGTCGCCTAAAGAATTCAAGGTTTTTTATCAAGATAAAAATTTTGTTCAACAAACTGATTGCACTCTCTCTCTATGAGTTTCCTATCAATATAACGTGCAAATTTTTGCTTTTTACATATTCGTCTGCGTCATTTCAATCATTTCTATCGAGGTTTTTCGTCGTCCGTATTGGACTTCCCCAATTTGGTTGATCGACAAAAACGGTTGAAATGACTCGAATGATTCCGCGAAAAGCAGTCTTTGTAGTGCCCTATTAAACGATAAGTTTGACTCGTTTATGTTATAATCATATGATTGTGATGATATTTTTAGATGCCGAATCTTGAGAATGAGGAAAGTGAATCTCAACTATATCCTCAAAATTGTTTACCAAAATGCGAAAGTTAACACAACGCAAGCTGAACACTTCGAGATAAGAGTGATCATCTTTTTCTGTGCATAAATTTGCCGGTATTTGTCTTTTCTACAAGTGCAGCATCATTTTGCTTGTATCTGACGAGTACATTTATATCTTAAGGTGATATAGTGAGCAAGGCACTTACTCTGCAACAATGGGAAATTGGAAAAAAGGTTTGTGACTTATTTCATGTAACTGGCAGTGCACAAGCTTCGATTTAGCTTGTGCACCATATTGTAGACTGGTGAAGAACGCACTCGGTTTATCAAACACCTTCACGTTATGAAAAGAGATCTTTAGCTTACTTGTGCACCATATTGTAGACTGGTGAAGAACGCACTCGGTTTATCAAACACCTTCACGTTATGAAAAGAGATCTTTAGCTTACTTGTGCACCATATTGTAGACTGGTGAAGAACACACTCGGTTTATCAAACACCTTCACGTTATGAAAAGAGATCTTTAGCTTACTTGTGCACCATATTGTATACTGGTGAAGAACGCACTCGGTTTATCAAACACCTTCACGTTATGAAAAAGAGATCTTTAGCTTACTTGTGCACCATATTGTAGACTGGTGAAGAACGCACTCGGTTTATCAAACACCTTCACGTTATGAAAAAGAGATCTTTAGCTGACTTGTTCAAGGAATTAAAAAAGATAGGTGATGAACGTTTCGTTGATGAAAATAATGAAAATAAACTATGTTTCGTCTTCAACGTTTGACAACTTCAAATTTTATCCAGGTTTGTCGTACCGTAAAGGCATAAACATTTGCCAGCAAAACTCGTTGAAAAATCCTATGTTGGTTGATACCTCTTACCTTTCAAAACGACTGAAAAACATGGACAATATCATGGAAGACAAGTAAATAGCTTTGAAAAATGTTAATTTTTTGTGGAGAAAGTATTCACTCGCTTTTTTTTCTCTTCAGAAAATGTGGATGTTTTGCATCATTGTGGGAAAGGTCGATAGAATATTATCAAAAATGTGTTTACTGCAACACTGCCGTGAACAACCTTCTTTCATCACCGTCAAAGGTAAATGGGTTTGTCGTTAATAAGATTGCTTAACTTTATAAAGTTTGAACCCAAAGTATTATTACACGTTTGTAGGAGTAGATCGTCCATTTGTTCAGTCCTAAGAAGTTGGTGTTTATGTTGACTGACGTTTTGACTACCTTAGCGGTAGTCATCTTCTGAGTCAAGTGAGAAGTAAACAAACAGACGTATGAACCAGATAAATACGGCAAACCTGACGTTTACTCCTCACTTGACTATGAAGATGACTACCGCTAAGGTTGTCGAAACGTTAGTCAACTTTAACACCAACAGTTCTTCTCTGGACTTTACTAACCTGGACGATCTACATCTACAAATATGCATACCTTAACTTTCCTATCATGACGACGGCTCATTTGTCCTCTGGTTGATAGTAACAGTCATTTTGTTTTTTATTAATTTTATTTTCGACCACTGAACGTTGCTTCGTGTTGAGTTTCTTTAATCAGTAGTCATCGGTTGTCTTTGTTTCAATAGTTTCTGTCTTGTAGGATTTAACGATGGGCGATTTTGACCGTATTAAAGGTATTGCCGAACATTTACGTCAAATCACTCAAAGGCAAAGAGAAATAATATCAAGTGTTGGCAAGATGTTTTCTAATTTGTGGTATGAATGAACAATCGATACGTTGTCTTGCCACTTGTACCCCTTCATCATTACTTGTACCCCTTCATCATTACTTGTAGTCCTTCATCATTACTTGTAGTCCTTCATCATTACTTGTACCCTTCATCATTACTTGTACCTCTTCATCATTACTTGCCTCTTCATCATTACTTGTACCTCTTCATTATTACTTGTAGTCCTTCTCATCATTACTTGTAGTCCTTCATCATTACTTTAGTCCTTCATCATTACTTATAGTCCTTCATCATTTCTAGTACCCCTACATCATTACTTGTACCTACATCTTTGTAGTCCTTTATCATTACTTGTAGTCCTTTATCACTACTTGTAGTCCTTTATCATTTTTTGTAGTCCTGTATCATTACTTGTAGTCCTTCATCATTAATTGCAGTCCTATGGTACGTTGTACATTTGTTTAGCATGACAGAGAAACAACTGGAGGCTAAGAAGCCTAGTCGTGTCGACTACCTCATCAAATCAAAGTTTCACAATGGACAGTTAGTAGGATTTAATTCAATAAGCTTCTTTCTTTGAACTGGAATCTAAATCTTCCCTTATCCGTGATCTTTCTTACTTCATTATTTGCAGCGAAAACTCGATGATATCTTGAATAGATGCTTAGAGACCTCTGATGAAATTCGGATTTTCACAGAAGCCTGTCCCGATGTCAAAATCGATCCCAGCATGAGTCCGGATTTTCACAGCTTATCCAATCTTGCTAAATGTATTGCAACTTTACAAAGAGAGCCTCCTGGCTTATACAATAGCTTTAACTCTCACATCATAAACGAAAGCATTCACGGGCTTCATGGAAAAAAATAATCTACTTTTTTATAATAGTTTTTACAAAGATAACATTCAATAAGCCAAGCAATTTGCATCGTCTAAACTGCTTTGAACTATTATGTTATAAAATTTTGATTCATTTTGGATAGTAAATTTCTTTTTACCTTACAATATTTTCATGATTGAACCTAGAAAGTAACTTCTCTTCTAGAGTAATTTTGCGATTAAGCAGCACACTTTTCAGATTCAAAGAAATTCTTTTCATCGCATAGAGACAGCCGTACAATTTATTATGTTCCTAAGCGTATATAAGCATTTCCAAATCACGTACAAAATTTCTTTCGCATGGCCAAATTACGGTCTATTTAAACGATGTTGTATGTAATAAAAAGTTATCTTGACAACTGAAGCAATCCCTCCTTTTTCCAAGTATTTCAACACCTCAAGTTCATTCCAAACTTTTGAATTTCTCGAAGCGTAGCCGAAAGGAATAGGCATCAAATCACGATACTCATATCCATCATAACAACTATTTTGATTTCTCCCTTGATCTTTTTTAGCGCCAAGCTTATCTGAAGTGATGTTATGTGCTTAAACCGTGCGACATGGGATTTGGAGAGATAAAAGGATGTCCAAAAGGATGTTTCTTTAATAAATCTCGCGTAACGTGTAGCTTCGCACATGTAATACACGTAAATTGACCTCCAGAGGTCAAATTTGGCTTCAAAAAATCATTTGGCTTTTCTATTACAGGTAGCCTTCCATGTATCATAGTTTAATAGGCGGGTGTCCCTTTTGCCTGATTTTGGTGGTGGCCCAGCCCGGGACCTCCCCTTAATCTGGTCCAGCTGGCAGAGATATATCGTCATTGTAGGTAAAGTCTATTCTCAGCAGAGCATCTGGATATGTTGCAAATGCATTCAATAATCACACATTTGTTAGTTATATTTGAAAGGTAAAGTCTATTCTCAGCAGAGCATCTGGATATGTTGCAAATGCATTCAATAATCACACATTTGTTTCTGTATGGCATATTTACTGAACATTTGCAAAACATGAAACTTATGCGCTCTAAAATGAAAAAAAGGACTGAGATGAAAAAACTACAATGATTGCTTAGCTGAATTACACTTCAACCAAAACATAGATTAGCTTCTTCCATTGTATTTTTATGTCAGTGTCATTTCTCGTTTGTGGTCAATATCTCAAAACAGCAGCTTCCCCAGGCAGTGACAGATTTGTTTTGAAGAGAATGTAATTTCAAATGAAGTCAGTCCGGCAGAGCTGATTCATTACCCTCCCCACGTTCCTCATTTCTTGTTATGTTATACATTACGAAGATAGAATTCGCGTTCTATTTTCGCCCCTGTGGCTTTTTAAATTTAAGGTATTGTTGTAAAAATATTGATACACACGACTACGAGTTGGACAAAACTCACAAAATGTAAATCTTTCTGAAACTATTTTTGTGACTTTTTTCCATTGCTTTTTTCCCGGTTGTTTTTGGCCGTGTTTATCGTCTGTAGAAAGACTGGGGACGAAGCTGCCGACTATGATTATATGAGTCTTCATTGGTCTTCATGAATTGAATCACGACTTCCAATTTTGAATAACTGTAGTTGTTGTTTCAAAAATAATATATATATTGAGCTAACTGCGTTATATCTACCCGTAAATGGATACAATACAACCCTCGAAACTGAACTGCTTGATTGTGTGTAGTTGGTCGTGCGAAGGTAACTGTGTTTGGTTTGACACACAAGGTATTGCTGAACATTTACGTCAAATCACTCAATCAAGTGTTGGCAAGATGTTTTCTAATTTGTGGTGTGAATGAACAATCGATACGTTGTCTTACATTGCCAATTGTACCCCTTCATCATTACTTGTACCCCGTCATCATTACTTGTAGTCCTTACTTATACCCCTTATATACTTGTAGCCCTTATATACTTATACCCCTTATATACTTGTAGTCATTACTTATACCCCTTCATCATTAATTATAGTCCTTCGTCATTACTTATACCCCTTCATCATTACTTGTACCTCTTCATCATTACTTGTACCCCTTCATCATTACTTGTAGTCCTTCATCATTACTTCTAGTCCTTCATCATTACTTCTAGTCCTTCATCATTTCTAGTAGTTTTTTATTTACAGGCCTTTGTTTGTGAAGATACCTGGATATAGGAAGTTAATTATATAAGATCATATTACGCGCTTTCGTGTCATCCGATTTTGTAGATGATTTTCTACAACTTATTTTTTTGTGCCACCTCCAGATTTTGGATATATTTTAGACAATAAGAATATCTACAATATGGCCAAGTTTAAAAAAATTCTACCGGGTAGTTTTTTTATTTACAGGCCTTTGTTTGCAAAGATACTTGGATATAGGAAGTTAATTATCTAATATTATATTACGCGTATTCGTGTCATCCGACTTTGTAGATGACAAATCTACAAAGAAAATCTTACCAAGCGCCGGAGCAGCGGGTTTGGCCTTAACGCTCTTCTTCTGAATCGCAAGAAAGGGCTTTTCGCCCATCAAACGAGTAGTTTCATTATTGAGCGCTTTGACCACCTCAGGTAATCGTGATACCCATTCTTTGTTCCGAGTTCCGGGCTCAGCCAGCTCGCGATGATACTGGTAACCGAACAATCGCTCCGCCAAAGTTTGGTTAAATCTTTCTACGCCCCCCTGATCTCTATGAACTCCAACCCTACCCCGTCCAATCGTGACACCATTGTTATCACACGCTTTTTGAACAGCCCCGCGGAACTCCGAGCCAGGGTCGACTTGTAAAACTTTAGGCCATCGAAGAGGCCCACGTGCATAAATAGACTCTAACGCCTTCCCAACCTCCTTATACCGACTTGCTACGTAGACAACCGTCAATGCGTATTTGAATGTGCGTCTTCCGACTCGATCGTGAGGCAGATACGTGAGATCGGCCTGGTGGACCTCATTCGGGGTGCTGATGTCAAACTTCGGTCAGGGGATAGCACTTCGCGCTGGTGCGGGCAAGTAGATGGCCTGTTTTGTTAGCCATTTTGTTAGCCAGCTTGGAATAGCAGCTCAGCCACGGCAGTACCCCGCAGGACTGTAGTACGCCTCTGCTAGGCGTTCCTCAACGCTTCTGTTCGTAGAAACGCGACTATGCTTTGTCGGGATGACGGCTTCGAAATCGTCAGAACCACCACCAATGGTCAGAGGCACAAGGTCGAGCACCTTCTGATCATTGGCTAGAGTGTCTTCGCCGAACACCCCCCCCCTTAATCTCTTTAAAAGCCCCTCTACAGAACCCTCTTCTCAGACAGCCGTTGCTCGACTTTGCACTGCGAACGTATTCGTAACCATGACCCGCTCGGGAAAGGCCTCCAGAAAATATCTGCACAGCTGAGGCTCTTTATATGCTTCCTCTATTTCAGCGAGCGCAAGTCCAAAGCTATCAAAGACAAGCACATGCGTTGCAGTACAACAAACAGTTAGCCAGTAGTGCCCCCCTTCGACCGGATCATGGAGAGGGTAGATGTTGTCGGTGTTGCTGATGCAAAACTGCCCATAGTGGAGATGTGGTAGGCTGTCGTAGCTACAGACCCCAGGTCGATAGTGTATATTTGCAATTGCTGTGATCACATATTTGTATATTTGCACTTGCTGTGATCAATTGTGATATAAACATTCTGTCTCTTCTGCAGACAAATTAAATTTGTTCAATCTTGATATAATGAAGTATATGCAGAATATAAAAAGTTTTGATAGTATTGAATGGATTTGTTCAACCTGTAACAACCACTCAAAGAAAGAGAAAGTCCCTTCTTGTGCAATTGCTAATGGTATGCAATTTCAAATGACAAACCGTTTTTCTTTGAATTAAATGAACTAGAATGTCGACTTATTGCCTCTCTATTGGCATTTCAAAAAATATTTCACGCCTCCCGCGGTGACAAACTCAAGATTACTAGTAATGTGGTAAATGTTCCAGCAAATGTAAACAGCACAGTGAATTTGCTGCCAAGATTTATCAGATAAAACAGGTACTATTAAAGTACAACTTAAGCGAAGATTACAATATAAAACTTCTGCACTTTCAATGCATATAAGACCTCACAAAAAGATGAAAGCAGCTTCATGGTTGATTAATACAAGTCCTTTGTATCAAGATGAAGAAATCGTTTTGACAGTAACTGGTTGAGAAGCTTGCAAGAGTCAACAAATAAAATTTGTTCTAGCATGGACACATTACATAATGCAAGTGTTGAATCAGCAAACACTGCTGAAGATGAAGCTGAGACCAGCTGGAGTAACAGATAGTATGTTAACTCCTTCAGATTTTTTGAGTGATAATGAAAGACGGAAAATTTATAATGTTGCACATGGTAAAGGTAATATACCATTAAGTATATTTAGAGATCAGTATTCCGAACAAATGGCTTATCCAGGAATAGTTCATGGACAAAAAAGACCAGATGACAAACAAGGCAAAGAAATGTTTACTACAGTGAAATATGTAAGTCTGATTTAAGGAGATCTGATCGACGGGCTGCCATGTGTGTTGAAAATATATTCTTCAAAGCTAAGAAATTAGAAATGAAATTCATCCTTGGTCAAGAACAAATTGCACTCCGAAAAAACAATATTAGCAACAAAACACTTACTGCAGGAGGCCTAAAGGCTACTGAAGGTTTGCAAAGTTTAATAAGCCGCAATGATAGTTTCAGATTTCTCAAAACCCTCAGGGGTTCACCACCTTACTTTAAACGAGCCAAAAAGCCTTTATTTGGTATGATTCGAGAGTTAGAACCGGCATCATTATTCTGCAGTTTTCAATCAGCAGAAAACCAACGGAATCATTTTGGAATTCTTGGAAAACTTAATAAACAAAAGGATTATAGTGATGTAGAACTGAATACGCTGTGTCTCTTCGCCGGGCAGCTGGGTAGGAAATTCAAAATACTAAATGCCTGGCAGAAAAATACTTTAACTTTTAAAGCCTGACCCAAACTATAACACTAACCCTAACTCTAACACTAACCCTAACCCTTGCCTGAAACTAGATTGCTTTTTGTTGCTTTTGTTTTAAAACTCAAAAGATTTAAATGATTTTGGGAAAGATCCATCTTTCACACACAAAAAAATAATAGCGGGGCTGGGATTCGCGCATGCTGCACATAACAAGTAACACTTTCCACTACACCATCACAGCAATCTTGCCAATGTACAAATCGTATGATTTTATACTGCTGGGTTTCTAGAAGTTGAATAATTCTTCCGGCTGCCGGGTATCTAGACACAGTGAATTGAATAACCTTAATTGAAGGTGCCGACTTATTTAAAGTGACCCAGTAGCCTTTACAAAACATTTTGATTATCAGTTGAACATGTTCTTAAAAGATGCTTCAATGAGTAAACTTGCTCCATTAGGCAAAGGTAAAGATTGGTTTTATAGAATTGAGTATCAACGGAGGGGATCAACCCATATTCATATGTTCATATGGCTTAAAAATGGTCCAGTGTTTGGTGTTGCTAAAAATTAAGATGTTGTTGCTTATATTGATAGCACAATTACCTATAGCAAACCTGAAAATGCTTTGGAAATACTTGGTCTTGTAAATAGACAGACACATACACATTCTCATACTTGTAGGAAAAAGTCTAAAAATATTTGTAGGTTCAACTATCCACAACCACCAATGAGATGTAATCAGATTTTATATCCACTTGATGAAGACATATCTTCAACTGTTACCAAAGACAGCAAGCAATTGTAGAAAGAAATTAGAAATAAACTAAATAAATTTAAGGAAGGAAAAGACATCACTTTTGATGAACTGTTGAAAGAGTTTGATGATTCAGTGCGTCAGTATATCTTGGCGATACGATTTGCAATATAAGAAGTAATATCAAGTAATGATAACAAGTAATGATAATATCACATATGAAAATTTTAACATAAATAATTAAGAATGCTTTTTAAACAATTCCCCTTACCGCAAATTTTTTGAAGCTTTCATAATCAGTTACGCCGATTCACGCATAACGTTAATTTGTGAATGCCTACGATTTTGAGTAGACCACAGCCGTACCAAAAATCCTCTTTATATTCTTTGCTTATTTTCACATTAGTGTAGCAAAAGAAAAGTTGCGATAAAACACGAAAGTATACATTTGCGTTTTGAAAATCAATTCCCATATTTTTGCTATTATTGCATCAATTTCAAAACAAGTAAACAATGGCGTCTCCAACTCCATAAGCGAGGGGGATTTTATTCATATATTTATGTTTTTCCTTATTAACTTCTTTTCAAGTCAATTGTTTCTTAGTGACTAAAACATGAATATATGAATACTGCTTATCTATATGGCGACGCTACTGCAACCAATGAACAAACTATCCCATAGACACGAAAAAACAATCTCTGTCAAAGAAAACTTTGGCAAATAAACATTTTACTTATTTACAAGGATATAGTCCTGCGGCATATAACTTTGCCAGAGAAACTTTGCTCGTGTATTGACGTCGGTGTGAAGAATGCTCAGTCTCATTCAATAATTGTCAAATATTTCTCCCCATTGTTTTCATTGATCATCGAATTACTGACAAAAGAATTTTGGTATTGATCAACACTTTCACCATTTGTTACATTACCATTCTTCAGCAGTGGTTGATAGTCATTATTTTCTAAGTCATTTCTACAGCCTGGGGGTAATATCAAAGATGCATATCGTTCACCATTATCTTCATTAATCATTGAATCGCGGACAGAAGAATTTTTGCATTGATCAACACTCTGGTTCTGCGAAGACTTATCAAAGGTTACAATAATAGGTTCCTCATATCCGGGAGGACGAGATTCAAAGCTGATTTTCACAACATTGGAATGATTTTCGGGTTCCCATCTCGGTTCTTCATACACGTGATTCTGACTTTGTTGTGATCGAGACTGGAGCATAAATTCATTGCCAGATACGTTTGTTGGATCATTTAAGTTGGTTTCTGAGTTGTGATCTATGACAAGAGATGGAAAAGTGCCGTTTCATTTCAATGACATTTAAATTTACATGAATACTATTTTAATATGTTGTACAATTTGTGATATCTTTAAACATGTCATTTTCATAAAGCTTTAATGACATCAAAAGTAACAGTTATTATGTTGTATTTTTTAGTAACGTTTTCAACGCAAAATTTAAAAATGACAAAGTAAAAATATTTCGATTTTTTCGTTCAACCGAAAGATTGTGTGTATATGTATAACTTGTTATTATATACATTATGTTATTTGAATAACTGATGAATCCATTTGTAGAAATATAATCATGAATTTATTGAATAATGAAGTTACTGTACCTTGATTTAAGATGCAATCTCGTTGGTATATTGGTCGACCATTGCTGGATCTCGTCTAGTCAATTAAAGTTGCAGTAAAATTGCTATGCATTGAATACTTCCTAATGATCATCGGTGTCGAGTTTTAAGCACCGTTTCAAAGGCATTTGCTGCTTCAACGTCAAATGTCGATTGTTTTTGCTTATTTTTTACTCACCATTTTTTTGTTTTTTTTTCATCCGCCATCTAAGGTGATAACACAACAAGAGAATACAAAACAGAAACAAAATTGCCGCTATTGCATAGGGAATAACAGTCTTTATAAGTTTTCCGATAAATTTGTGTGAAGAACCTGGAGAGAATAGAAAATCCATGTGAGCACATGATACTAATATAGATTGGACAAGAAGGTATTTTTAGCAAAATATTTAACAACAGATGACAGGTGCAGTAGCTTAATCTAGTTTAATAGTTTTTTCGCACCAGTAAAATAATTTAACAACTTCATTTTTACTATTCAACCTATCTTCAATGCAATGTCTTTTGTCAATAGCGCCAGTTTCTATGGTGATCTTGTTCATTCCACACGTAAAACATTTTGTTTTTCCTGTCTGTGGTTGATAACTATTTCTTTTACATTTGGTACAATTTAAAGTCGTTTTGTTAAAATAGGAACCTGCATTACAATCTAAAGTCGAAAAGGGTTTCATTTGACCGAATTATTTTGATGTGTTCCAAAAACGTCAACTTACTTTGAATACAATCAGATTGAAAAACACTGCCCTCTTTCTCTGTGATTGGTAGATTTATTGGACACGCGTCACATGTGATCTGTCCTTTGTTCACTTGTGTCGAGTTTCGTGGACATTTTGTACAAACCATTTCAATAAAATTAAAATAATAACCTGGACGACATTCTGAACAAAAAAGTTGTAGATACTATCAACAATAGATCCATAAAATGCTGAGGTTGGAAAACATACCTTCTTTACAGTCGGTTATATTAACGTGAGGATCATCTGTATACGTCATCGTACCATTTGGACACTGACAGCATTGAAACTGTCTTTTCATTGGTTGATACGTGTTTTGGGGACAAAGAACACAATCAGATTGGTTGAAACTGTACATGTATCCCGGATTACAGTCTACAAAAACACATGAATATTTTAAACATTCTAGTTAACGAATCATTATTTTGTTAGTGTACATACACAAGGTGTAGTTGACAAAGCATTTATCACCTTTGATACACTTAAAATGGCAACACAGATGGCAAACGGTTAAGCACCTTCAATTGGCGTGATTGGGAATTGAAAAATGTTGAAAATAAAAGCAAAGCAGAACAGTATTTAGCGATGGTGGTCAGGAATTAGTAGCGAGGTGAAGGAAATATCCAAGAGATTGATTTGAAAGTGCAATCTTAGAGTTGTAAAGAAAACGGAAATAATAAAAACAACAACACGAACTAATAGAACAATCTATAAAGACGATGATTGAAAAAGAAACGCTGACTTGACAATATTCGTTAAGTTATTTTAAAAAAATCTGAAATATTTAGTGTGTAAAATATTTTCTTTATCATATTATGTAAATTAATTCTAAACCTTGGGATAAGTTTGAAAATTTTCGAGAAACATAAAAAGTAGTAGAGTGAGCTTGCAAAACACTTTGCAAAAAAGCATAAACAAATACTTATCAAAAGCATTACCAGGAGTGGTCAGGTTAAAGATAACATTTATTGATTATATGTGGAAAACTGGATTTATGAGACCTCGTGAAAATATTTTTTACGCGTAAATTTACACAAATATTAATGCAGTGCATGCAACATTAAGTTTCACAGCAGGTTCATATGATAAAAGAATCAAACTTATAAACATACAAATAATTTTACTTTTTTATCATATCAGCAATTCTTGTTTGTATTTTAGCAACGTTTGCTGAAAGTTCAGCAGAAAAACTCGAAAATGTGTAAAAAATTTCCAGTCTCTGAAGTCGTGGACACACAAGATGTCGTTAATGTTCACTAAATTTATCATGAATTTTTTCGAAAAAACTAAATGACTAAAAGTTCTTCCAGCAAGAGTGAAGATCATTCTATATAAATAATATCTTTGTATAACCCATGGTAATTTTACAATTAAAATTATGTCGAATTGTAGATTATGAGTATTAAAATTGCATTGAAGAAAAGGTTATATATAAGTTTACTTTATCTAGTTTTTTTACCTAAATACAAATTTTGCGACATACAATTTAAATGTGATATATTTGGGGGTATATGCTAGACTAGTAATTTGTTAAAATATTTCGTAAACGTGTTATATATAAATAACCATGGTACAAACCAACGCTAATATTTGTGATAATCAATGATTGAAAAATCATATGTAAATAATTTCAAACTACTGCTCCATAAAATTGATAAAAAAAATCAACAACATACACTATGTACAACTTTTTACGGATTGTTCACATATTAGTAATAAAAAACAAAGAAATAGCTAAATTTTATATAAAAAATCTTACTTCTTCCAGGATCACCTACATATGAACTATCAAAATATCTCTCTAACATTCTTTACTCTCTAGTCAAAAGTTCACCTCACACCATCAAAAACGCCACCACCTTCCTCGCCAATATTGACACCGTTAAACTACAACCAGACACAATCATGATATCTTACGACGACACATTTTCCTTCACATCCATACCACTAGACACAGACAAAGTACTACAAACGAACTATTCACAAACGACAAATCTTGGCAAGCCACGACACAAATTGACAAAAATGACATCTTAGACTTAGTCAACCTGTGTTGAATATGTCAATGGATCGCGAATAGTTCAGAACGATTTATTTTATTTAAGACAATACGAGTTTCACATAAGATAGCTTAACAAAATTAACCTCACTAGAAATACGTATATCGAACGTTTTGTTTATATCACCATATTTGGTATATGGTCAGCGGCCAGTCTATTTAATAAGAATGCTACTCTAAATAAACACCAACAACCTTTTCCTCTCCACTGAATTCTCCTTACAGAACTCATACCATAGACAAATTTAGGCACACAAATTCGAAGAAACTGTCATGCAACAGTATCTTGTACCTTTTATTTTTAGTCAATTAATACGAATTTAACGACACAAGACTGACAAGAGCATAGTGTTTTGGTCATAATGCTATAGTAAATTATAAAGAATTTTTCAAAAACAAACACGATATCACAGCATATGGATATCGTTAGTTCCATATTCTGTGACGATATCTTTTTTGGCATTTCTTTTATAATGCCAACACTTCAATCGTTCAATTGTTGGATGTCGTAGTTTCCACAAAAAGGAACATATCGCTTCTCACATGTGAGATAATTGCTTGTTTTGTGCGTCAACGATTAAAAAGCAATTATACATGCACTAGAAAAGCCATAAAATACATATTAAAGATCGTATTTTTTAAGACTGACTTGAATGCCTTGGTTGGATTCTATCACGATGGGCGATTATATGAATGTATTCATTGACGCAGGTTATGATCATCCATATCAGCTGACAAAAATCAGAAACGAAGATTTGTTGACCATGGGTGTCAAACTGATTTGCCATCGTAATAAAATTATGAAGGCAATCAAAGCAATTGAATTCCAAGAAAATAAAACTTCAACGACTCAATCCAGTTAATTTATAGTATGAGTATTTTTTCCATTCAGATCAATGATGGCATATTGTCCAAAGTGCAATTATTACGCTTGGCAAAGGACGTTGTTGAAGGAATGAATTATTTGTCCGATATAAATTTTATTCACAGGGTGAGTTAGAATTGTTAATTCTTGTTGATTGAATGTCATTATTTCAGTGCTACTCTCTCATCTTCGACATTATCTCGTCTTAAGGACTTGGCTGCACGAAATGTCCTGTTGAACAATGACATGGTTTGCAAAATATCAGATTTTGGTCTTCCGCGAGAAATGGAATCCCACTCTTCGGGAGAGTACGAAACAAGTGTAAGTCGTCATAAAACAACTCTATGAAGTCCTTGACAACTTTCTTTTTCAATACTTTGTTTTTTTCCAGGGAGGATAGATACCTCTTCGTTGGACGGCTCTTGAAGCAATCAGATATCGTAAGTTTACGACGGCAAGCGACGTTTGGAGCTATGGAATTTTACTTTGGGAAATTATGTCGTTTGGTCAGAGGCCTTATTGGGAATGGGACAACTTTAAAGTAAGAAAAATGTTTAATTTTTAAGAAAGTTATTGTGCTTCACCAGTTATTATGAAACAAACGCAAATCTTGCAGCAATTCGGTGTGAGATATCGGACTTTATGGAGATGAAGTAATGATTTTCTATCATTATTTAATCTTAGGTCATGGAAGAAGTAAATGGAGGATATCGTTTGCCCCCACCACCAGTAAGTTAAGCTTTGAAACCATTTTCATGACAATACTTAGATTGCAATGATCGTTATGTTTGCCTCTCTTCTTCCACAGCAATGTCCTAACGGTGTACACGGTCTTATGCTTCGTTGCTGGAATGAAGAGCGAGCAGAAAGACCAACTTTTGCTCAAATAAATATTGTCATAGATAGATGGTTGCGTTACCCAGATACGTTAAATAATGACGTTGACTTCTTCGTTACGATTGGCAAGTGTTGTAATGTTTAACAAGATAGAATTCATAAACAAAGCATGTTTTTCACGTATAATAATAATTAATTCTTGGGTTATTATAAAACAGCATGTGTTAGTAACATCATGTGTTTTTTAGGTTGAAACAATCTACTAGATCAATTGTTACTTAGGTAACATCAACGGTCAAGTTGGTGTTGTTTCGACATTCAAAAAATAGTGACATCCATGTAAATGGCAGTCAGTGAATGGATATTTTTATCTTCATTAAATTAGACCAGTGCAAAGTAATATCATTACAATGCTATAAATTAATGAAAAGTCTAATAGAAATAACTTTTTCTCAACTCAGGCGAATGGCTGGAATCGATCAAGATGGGAAAATACCAGGCTATGTTTATTGAGGCTGGATATAGTAAACAGTCAGATATTCTTGACTTCAAAGATTAAGATTTGCAACAGCTTGGTATCACGTTGATTGGACATCGTAATAAAATTTTAAAAGGTATTGAAACATTACGAATGAGGAAAAGTAGACAAGAGTTAGCATTACTTCCTAAAACGACTTCTGTCATTTGAGAAGAACGGCTCTAATGTTCTTCGCGAACATGTATGCCAATCAAATTGGAAACAACGAACGAGGTGTGATACGATAAAATTGAGGGTAAAATTTTTTTAGATAATAGTTTCAAATTATTCAATTCAACGAAGTAAGGATTTTTACAAATAAAAACTTTTACAGTAGTTGCTTTTAGAATATATAAACTTACACAAGTCGAGTTATGACGTTATAATAATAGGTACGTAGGTACAACTGACCATAGACTAGTGCCTGTATAAAACATATAAAATGTAAATAATGTCCAAGAATATAATGAGGAGGACTATAATATCAATTGAAATTTACCTAATACAAAATTGTATATTGTTGTTAGTAAAAACAAAGAACAAATACATTGAAGGCAGCTAAGTATTTTCCCCAAAACTCCCGCACTGTTTGTTATTCATTTTAACAACGTAAACATGAGGAGGCAATAGAAAAGCTGTAAACTATGAGTGACCTATCTACAAAAAGCTTTGCAGCTGAATGATCTTCCCTTGCATTTATCATCGCACGAGTTTTGATCTAAAACAAGATAAATAACTGCTTTCATCATGGCGTATTCAAGAAGAAAATGGCGTCTAACTAGATTCATTTACCTATGAATTGTGTCTCTGCGGACCTGGCTTTAGAATTATCTGTGCGTTAAGGAATAATGCGTGTAACTGAAGTGATAAGTACTTCAATACTTATATTCAGTATTTATATTTTGCAAAAAAACTTACTACTTGATAGGTTACTTCCCATCGTTCATGTCGTCATTTATGTCGTTCATGTCGTTTTTTTCAAATGTTTATGTCGTCTATATTAAATTCAATATTCTGGGATGGGTTGTAATTGTTGGTCGTATAATTACCGTCATTAACCCACAATAAACGAAGATAAACATAAAGGTAGACATAAAGGTAGGCATAAAGGTAGACACAAAGGTAAACAAAAAGAGTTGAAAGGATTTCATGATAGAAGCCTCAATTTAAGACAATTCAACAACAAAACATTGCTAAACATTGCTAAGTTGAAGGTGTGGTGACTGTTGATATTTATCTTCTCTGCGGTCCCAATCTTTCAATTGATTGTCATTCATGAGCAATGGATCTTTGGATTGCTATCTGAAGGTAAGGGAAGATGTAGAAGGAAAAACTCCAAAAGATACCTTTCTATACAATTCACTAACCTCAGTAACACGTTATATCATGTGCTTAGGGCTGTCCAAGAGAAGTTCATCAGCTCATGCTAAAGTGCTGGCGAGGAGAAAGACGTAAGCGCCCTAGTTTTTCAAAGATTATTTGCCATTGTTGATAAATGGATATGCTCTCTAGACACAAAGGATAATATCGTATTCAACGTCCCTTAACTTCAATTGGTAACAAAACTAAGAAATTTCTTGTGTTTCTTTAAAATTCATGAATTGAAAATACTTAAAGCAAATGTATATGTATATTACAGGATCGTAATTGGCTTCGATTAACATGACCCATCAGAATAATTTTCATGAAACTTGTTATGATAAACTTTCAGATAGCTATAGCCAAACTCGATGACAAAGATTTGATTTCACTTGTTATAACACTGATTGGTTATCGAAATAAATTGAACAAGGCAATCTTATCAATTCGACAAAAACGAAAAGAGAAGAGCAAAGATGTTTTTGTTTAGAAAAACCAACACAACGTACGTTAAAATAATTTTAGCAACACGTAATGATTAAAAAATGTTGATATTAGCATATGCATAATTAACATAGCCATGTATGTCTATCTTCAGACCTAAAATAAAACATTGAAAAAATTAAATAATATAATTATTCCCATCAAACCATAGCACTGTACAGATGCATGCTATCGTTTTTATCCATATAGTAATGCATTATAAAATTTTAAACTTTTAAAATGAGTAGATAGCCGCCAAAGATCGACGAATTCAATTTTTAGGTTTTCAGTTTCCTTTGCAATTATTTCTCCAACCTGTTCTCATGGCAAATCAATAATAATAACTTCAAAAGCAATAAGTTCACAACGATTTATTAATCCCGTAAGATGAAAAAAGTATTTCTCGGCAAAACCTAAAAGCTTCTCGAATGTAAAACACGACATTTGGATTTTGAAAGGTTAGTGTATTGCTTTGGTCTTTTAGGAAACAACTTGTTGAGCCGAGTGTGAGGTTATCCACAAATTTCAAATGTAAATAAAAAGTAGCGAAATTTAAATGAAAATATTCCTTTCAAAATTAATAGTAAATGCTAACCACAGCAGTTTTGCCAGCACAAATTGTTAGTGTTTCCATACGTTTGGTTTTCAACAACCAAATATATAAAGTTTATTAGAAATGTAGTGATGTCGATGTTAAATAAAAATTACTCTATTTAATAAGTTGACAAACATTTCATTCATTTCATGTCACAAAAGTCGTGAAAGTTCGACTATAGCCGTGACGGAGTCGAACGCCTTTATTTGTTCAGTTCTGCTGTTGTAAAAAGTGTCTGTAGTTTGCATATTTTAATACTAATTGCACACTTGAATAGAATGACTTAGACAAACATATTATCGTAAGCATAAAAGTATAGGTATATGATTTTATTCAATGTTCTCGTTCAATAACTTCATCTAATAGAAACACGTTTGGCGAAAACTTGTTGTTGAAGAGTGGCAACGATCCTTGGCTTCGACTGATACGAAGAAACAATATTTAAGACTCTTGTCTTGTTAGTATTTGCCAAGTTGCGGTGAAGGACATATCTTGTTCAAATATAGGTACGTGGATTTCATTTGAAGAGGATAAGTCAATTATCCATCGTCACGAAATTACAAACTATCATTTTGTGGAAAAACTGCCACAACAAATTGTCACAATGTTACATTGGAATGTCAATATTCGCTTATAGCTAAGTTCCGCCGACAAAAACCTGTGATTATAATATATGATCTATCTGTTGAAAACAGCATATAAATCGTTTTGTTCTTTTTTTCCTAATATTCGTTCGCCGATTAGGAAGGAATAATTTTTCTTCAACAAAATTTTTTATTATCGGAGCATAAAGCGCACGCTTGTTAAACTTCAATTCAAAGCATATCTATTATTGTGTTTGTATTTTTATGTTAAGAGCGCTTCAGCCATTAATCCATACAAATAATTATCGGCTTACAAAATTGAAAGGTAACTGATGACATCAATTACCTGTGTAAGAATAAAGAAAATTATTCGATGGATCAAATACTTCTGACTATTCCATCATTTTCTCGAGAGTATTTCTTTTGTCACGCGTATTCGAAAGACAATTAAATATTGACAGTGAATGAAACTAGAAACCACAAGCAACTAGGATCGATTCCAATTATTTACTTTTTGACAATGAAATATAATAACTGCACCATAATATTCTGGAGCAATTATAAAATTTACGCTACCTGAATTGACGTAAATTTCATTACTGAGTTAGCTGATTAGTTATGGCAAATTTGAAAATTGAAATTAGCATGCGAACCACATGACGCCTTGACTAAACAACAAAAGCAAGCGTCAAATTCTACAGTCTCGTCAATCTCGTTTAACAAATGGTTACATAACAATAAAAACTCAGTGAACATCTTCTAGCAATGAAAACAGTGAAGTGGAAAGCCTCACGTTGGTTTTTGATGAGTTTATATCGCTAACTCGTGCGAATAACATTTGTATGTTGCTCTAATTCTGTGCGTTTAAAAATACGTTTCAGGTATCACACTTTTTCAAGAAAGATGAGGATTTTTGTTCTAGGAAGAGTTGTGTTCAGTTATTTACTGCTGGAAATTTCAATGGGCGAGAAAAGTAAGGAGAGCAAGCAATTGACTAATTTTACATAAAAATGATCATATAGTTTTATAATCTTTGTGAATTTTAATGTATTTTCTCAACTTGACAGTGGTCTTAAAGGATGCAACATTTGAATTTTGGATGAAAAAGTCTTTAATATTCGATGGAAGCGGTCAGCTTGTAAGAACGTCGATACATTGATAATGTTCCACGCTAGAGCTTCTTCTGTCAGCTATTCCTCATTTGAGCCTTTTATAGTTTGCAATAAAACTTGTCTGTGGGATCAGCATTAATCCTGTTTTTTTGATCTTTACCTTATAACCTAAATTCTAGTTGTGACCATAATCCTACATTTAACTCTAATCCTATAATCAAACACATATTTAGAAATGATTATGTCTTTATAGTTTTTCAAAGAGAATGGCAAAGCTAAAACGTGTGCAGATGGAAGAAAAACAGAAACGTGGTTGTTGACAGAAACATTGAAAATTAATCAAACATTAGATGATGTTAAAATGTTCATCGAAATTGACTCAAAAATGGCGAATTGCGATAACGAAGATGGAATTTGTTTCCGAGACGGTTTTGAAATATTTACCTACAATGGAAATGGTGAGCCAGTGATCCCTTTTCCTTTTAATGGAAACTTAGAGGAGAAGGGAAAAAATAGCATTTATTTCAATAACAATTTCGACTTTATGGGCAACATCACTGGCAACGAAACATCAAAAGAACGGTTCATCAAAATGTTTACAATACAAGTGAAAAAATTTAACGACATAACATTTGGCATTAAGTCTACGGGAGCTTGTGGCACTTTGTTTCGTATGACGATTTTCTACTACGTTTGCCAGCAGAAATATAAAAACAGTATTCTGCTAACGAGAACGTTATCACCTCCAAATGGGACAAAGGTCATTTATGGTAATTGTTCAACTAATTCAGAGAAATTGACAAAAACGAGCGGTCTTAGAGCTTACTGTCACAGCAATGGAACATGGTTTCTAGAAAAAAATGCATCTTGTTTGTGTCGTAAAGGATATGAGCCAACAAAGGAAGGCTGCCAAGGTAAAAGAAAATTTGAAAGAACACCAATGTTTTCATCTTAAAATAGTTCTAAAGATAGCAAATACCATAGTGAATGGTAAAAGTAATATAATAAGTTGACAGTTCTTAAAAGAACTGTTTTAAGTAAAGAGCACTAACGTAATGGTTCTAAATTAAACGACACGATGCATTTTAACACCTGGGGAGTAGTCTGCCGAAATGCATAGTGTCGTTTAGTTTAGAACTATTGGATTAGTGCTGTTTACTTAAAACAGTTCTTTTAAGAACTATCAAATTATTATATTACATTTACCATTTACTATGGTATTTGCTATCTTTAGAACTATTTTCAGATTTGTCACCACGACAAAATCTCTATTTTATTGTTTTCATCTTATCTCTATGTAATGTTTTCACCATACCTAGACCGTACCATATATTGCTTCATATTACTAACTTAAACCACTTTTCTTTCGAGGCTTGCCAAATTGATCATTACAAAGAAAATGTCTCCAACAACAAGTGTATAAAATGCCCTCTGTACACGTCAAGTGGAGAGCAAAAAACAACATGTTCGTGTAAAGAGGGATACTATCAACTTAGGCAAGATGAAAGAAACAAAAAAATATCAAGATGTTATGGTAATTTCCCAAATCATCCTGTTTTAGTCATAATATTTCTCTTATAATAAGCTTTATGCAACATGTCACAGTCAAAGCATGCACTGCACATTTCTCCTTGCCCTCATAAAAAATGAGTAAAATCTGCTATGGAAAATCTACGCCAGGCTATTTTTACACCAAACTGTCTATTGATGGGAATTTAATCATAATTTACAGAATACTTCAGATTGTTTAGAATTCTTTGTTAATAACTAGCTGCAGTAGAGATTACATCTCAACCAAAGATCATGGCAGTAAATGGTGAATTAAACATGGTGAACGTTAGTTGGATCGCTCCCGTTAACGTAAGCTTCATTGGTGAAAATCTTGTTTATGACGTCGAATGCTACGTTTGCAACGAAACCTGTCACTGTCCAAAACTGAAGTACGATCCAGGACAGAAAAATATCAAAAACACATTCGTTATTGTGTCTGGATTAGTGACTGGAAACATTTATCAATTCAAGATCTCTCCTCGAGATATCCTAAGCTCGGTCATTCCAAAACAATTCAATAAATTCATCCTAAGTGAAATTTACACCGCAAAAAACAATAATGGTAAATGATCCTAGAATGTTGTACTTCTCCGTCTTCCTTTATTACATTGAGCATTTTCTCATTTCAGATGAACCAATGCCCCAATCAAGCAGCAATTCAAACAAATACATGATAATAATTGTCAGTGTTGGTTGTTTGTTTCTCATCCTGATTGTTGTCATTTTCTTCATTTTTATTTGGTAAATATGACGCGGGTAATGAATGTATTGTCAGAAACAATTCTTTATCGTCATCCAAACTTAATGTCATTGTTTCAGAAGGAGAAAACAAAAAAGTGACCTATTTCAGGCACTTCTAAGAAACGGAGGTAAAAATTATGAGTTAGCTATAAATTTGCTTATTTTTATCTCTTGGGCAAGACTTTGATCATAAGGTCTTTTACAATTCACTCAATTTCATTATTTTTTAACTTGTTTGTAGTAGAGTTGCCAACAACTGGAAAAAAGATGTACGTGGATCCGAGCAACTACGACAAACCGGAAGATGCGATCGTTGAGTTTACAGCAGAGATTGATGCATCACTTTTGTATTTGGAGATGCTAATTGGTAAAGGTGAGAACATTTGGATTGTTCCTTGGCAGGAACTGTTCCATAAACAATGGAAAATAACTCAAAAATGATGTCTTTTTACAAATCTTGCAATGGATTTTTCATTTTTTTCAGGAGAGTTCGGTGAAGTATACAAGGGGTCCATGACTGGTGCTCTTGGAAAAAAGCATCCAGTGGCAGTCAAGACACTGAAGGTTAATACAATTTATAGGAAATCATTTATAGCGTCCTCAAAAATACACTAAACTGGCCAATATTTTTTCACAGAAAGATACGACGCCAAAAAGCGAGAGGGATTTTCTTTTAGAGGCTTCAGTGATGGGACAATTTGATTGCCCAAACGTCCTTAAATTGAAGGGCGTCGTGACAAAATGTAAATATTGTTATTTTGATAAATCCCCAAAACTCATGTATTGTAATGACTCTTCTGTTCTTGTTGTCCAACAGATAGACCTTGGATGATAGTGATGGAGTTCATGTCTAACGGCTCTTTGGACAACTTTTTAAAGGTATTGAGTTTCGTGGAAAGTTTTACTGGTCATCTGAAAGATGGATAAGAAGACGTTGCAAGCATTTTTTTTATTTATTTAAATAATAGATTACGTCTATGCGCTGTGAATGTTCCAAGTTATGAACCGACTTTTTTGTAGGCCAACGATGGTAGATTATCGCATCTTGAATTGATTAGTATGGCCAAAGGAGTGGGAGTTGGAATGAAGTATCTAGCTGAAATGAATTTCGTTCATAGGGTGAGAAAGTTGATGACGAAAAAACATCGTAGCAATAATTAATTTTTCGTACATTCTAGTGGTTGCTTCATATTCAAAATTCTTTGTATTTTTGTGATGTGTTCAACTGAATTTAGTTTTATCGTATGCTTCAAGTATGCTTTCTTTCATCAGGATCTAGCTGCACGTAATGTACTGATTGATGGAAATCTGGTCTGTAAAGTCTCTGATTTTGGTTTGTCACGTGAGCTCGAGGAAAAAGAATCATCACGTGGAGAATATGCCACGACCGGGGGAAAAATACCCATACGATGGACAGCCCCGGAGGCAACAAAGTATCGTAAATTTTCCTCTGCCAGCGATGTGTGGAGTTTTGGTATTTTTTTATGGGAGATCATGTCGTTTGCTGAGAGGCCATATTGGGATTGGGATAATTTCAAGGTAAGCAACCATAACGTGATGCAAATCAATCGAGTTTGTGATAAAGCGATAATCGCGAGTTTTATTTATGCTTATTAAGGTTATGGAAGAGATAGACAATGGTTTTAGACTTCCCGCTCCTCTGGTAAGTGATAGTCGAGATTTACCACTTCAATATCTTTGCAATATTCATGATTGGATGTTGGAAATGAAAAAGTGAAAAGACAATACGTGCATCAAAGAAATGTTAACTTTCTATTTTTTAAGAATTGTCCAAAGGGTGTTCATGACTTGATGATGAAATGTTGGAAGACAGAGCGAGTAGAGCGACCTAGCTTCACTGAAATAAACAAAATTTTGGATGGATGGATTGAAAAACCGAAACAATGGAAGGTGATATTGACCTGTCGTATGCGCTGCGCAGTTGGCTGGAATCCATAAAAATGGCTGAATACACTGAGTATTTTGTAGCAGCAGGTTACCAAAGACCTCGTGAGTTGCATTCAATCAAGGAGGGCGATCTTAAGGAGTGGGGTATAACCTTAGTTGGACATCGCAATAAGATAATGAAAGGCATCAAGAATTTGCAGGCAAAGAAAAACGGATGAAAGCCACCATTCAAAAAGCAGATATCTTTAGAAGTATAAAACTGTAGTTAATGATTGCATATAGATCGCTTCATGCATGGTGTTGTTGTTGCTACCCAATGGCATTTCTAAATTAAACGTGTATACATGCAAAAACGTACGTTCGTCAAAGACATCCATTATTCATCGCATTACAAGTAGACTAGCCGTAGCCGATACGCAAGTTGTACGAGATTTAGCATTAGATATAAGATAGCACATACGTTAGCATTTTTATTTCATAGTCTAATTTCGTTTTAATGACGTCAATAAAAAGTTGTATAAAATTATTCAGAAATAAAATATAGCTACAAATTGCTAATAGCTTGATGATATGGGTATGGATTGACGGGGTTAGGTTAAATTCATACATTCAGTTTGATATATATAGATTACAGAACCTGTTGTACGAGCCAATGCACTCAACCTACTCCTACTCTCTCCTCAACATAGGTTCTTTCGAACCGAATTGTATTATTTTATATAGTCTTGATATTCAACCCTCCCTCCTTACTCTCAAAATAAATACACCCTTGATCAGAGTGGCGAACAAGATATCACTTGTTTTATTTGACAAGCTGAATAATATTATTGTTTAATGATTTACGTAATGCCAAAAACAATGGTCAATTGTAATTTGCATTTTACGTGTATTCAAGGTTGAGATAACATAGCCCTTGTTTTGCAACACTACCTATTGTTTTTAAGATTAGATTTTTTGGACATCCGGTAATTTGTTCATGTACGAACAATGAAACGACGTTAACAAATACATAATGATAAGCATAACAGCATGCAAAAAGATATTATTCACTTCAAGTTTGTGGCACTTATGAATTTGGAGGCGTCATGGTAAGAACTTGTCGCTCGTACGAAACAGGTATAACGTATTCAAAACATTTTTGGATGTTGAAAGCAAAGTTGATGACTTGGTGCCTTAACTGGAGTAGACGACAAGTATTGTTATTTTTCATCTTAGTACCGAACGACGCCTTATTTTACTGCTAATGTATTCTAATTGACGTGCTAATAAACAATCAAGATCGTCAACATCATTGAATAAACGGAAAAAGAAATGGAGCCTATGGTCTTAAAGAAACTTATTGAAAACATAGAAAAGTACAGTAGATAACACTGATTAAATGTTAATGAAGAAAAATGCAGGAAATGGTAGAGGAGTGATAAATCACAGAACACAAGAAGAAAGGAAAAGATTAGTTATAGTCCGGCAGATAGTGGTTCAAAAATGATAGAAAGCTCAACATATCATGGGGCAATTTGATTTTATGCTATAATTGTAGAACACCATCTTTTTAGTCCTTTTCCAGTTGTTGGCCAGTGTGTATTTTCTTGTGAAAGCCATAAAAGGATGTTGTCAACCAGCTTCGAATACTCTTAAGTTTTCGCCATTTTGTTTTGAAAATTTTGCGGGAGGAATTGAGCCAACAGTCTTTTGGGTAGCGGTGAGTAATATACTTCAAATACGATAATTGAGAGAAAAACAATAAAACTGCCACACATTTTGTCTGAAATGTCAAAAAAGCCAAAAAAATTATCATCTTTTGAAGTCAATGTGAATATTTCACCTCCGAAAAAGCCAAAGACGGCTGAAATAAGTAATTGTATCTTAAACTGTACCGAAAAAAGTGCTGAACCAATAACAAAGTTTAGCGAAACATCAATAAAGTCAGTGTACAACGCGGGGAAAATTCGTAATGACCAAAAAGTTATTTCGATCATCGACTCCTTTCGAGATGATTTGCCTTCAGCAGAAAAAGGATACCACAGAAAATGCTATCAAAGCTATACGCATGGTAAAGCCCTAAGAAAATTGAGCGTGTCAGAATCGGCTACATCAAACATCAATGAAGCGAAGAGTCTTCGTGCTACATCGAAACGGAAAAATCGGAAAGGTATGAAGCAAAAACTTTCAAAAAATAATGCTAATAATTTCCAGAAACTTCATTGATGATATACACAACTGGAAAATTACTTTTATCATGCCATAGTTATATTTGTACAAGGGAACATTATTTCATGATATTTATGTTGTTACTTAGGAAAAATACTAGCAGACTATGAATGCTGTGTATGTGGTAAAAACAAAACAGCAAGAAGTGGAAGCGGATATGAGAAAAATGTAAAACAGAAAATGGAGCGCGAACTTTACAAGAAGCTTCCTTCTCGTTGAATTACCCTCATTTGCAGGCCATGGTTGGTGAGTGCGAATGGCAGGTAATACTTGCAAAAGAATTCTTCTACCATAGGACATGTTACAGAATGATAAGCAGAAAACGGGATGTAAAGAATGTACTTCCAAGCGATAGTGAGAAAATCTTTAACGAGCTTTTCACTGTTATCGAAAACAGGGTGATCACAGGTTGCGAAGTTTTTCGGGTGTGCAATTTACTGAGAATGCATTCGGAAATCAAAATTCGTTTGTTTGGAGAAAACTACGAGATTGGTTCGCCAGCACCTCATCGACCGAAAGAAAATATTCGTAAATTTTTCGGCTCAAAAGTTGGATTCTGGTCTCCGAAGTATCGTAGCGATTATGTATATAACAACAGCATTGAAAAGGGGCAGTTGATCGAAGTAGCAGTCAGGGCAAAACTTGGTAACAGTCGATGGGAAATGACATTAGAAGAGAAAACAAAAGAGGTTTGGCGTGAAATACGTAAGGAATTGTTGGAAAGTACCAGCACATTCAGCAGTTGGCCACCATCGAAGAGTGAGCTCCTTTCAAATGACACGAGTGTTCCATTCTTAACAACATGCCTTTTGGAGGAAATACTTAGGAAAAAGCATAAAAAGTCTGCCAAAGTTTCGCGTTTGATTTCTTCTATTGGCCAAGATTTGATATACCACGCTAATAACGGGACCAAGAAAACATCAAAACATATCTGTCTTCCTTTTACAATTAAAAGGAAAACCGGTTCCAAGGATGTCATAAATTGGATAAACAAGTTTGGTCACGGAGTATCATACGACGATGTCCTGATGATCGAGACAAATTTAGCGATGGAACATGCCAAGAATCAGATCCACAGATCCTTTACTCCATCTATAATACAACCATTTCGATTTGTAACGTTTGTGTGGGATGACAACGACATTAATCCCGAGTCTCAAAGGACTTAGCTTGCACTGCACTAATGGTATTGTGATACAATCCTCTAACGTTTTCTTTAATACGCCCGAGCCATCTTTTACAACTGTGTCATTAGTCTCAAAGACAACTACCAAACGTAAGAAGTTTCATGCGCTACCTAACGAGATACCATCTTATGTAAAGGTAAAGCGAAAGAATACAGAGGAAAGTATTACAGTTAATCTTGATTTATACCAAGAGGAAGTCCAACGCTCGCACGTGATTCATACTATATGGGTCATTGCTAGAAGTCAAGCAAGTAAGAAGAATTTCGAACAGAAAACACCTAATTGGACAGGATTTAACTTTATGGCGTGTGAGAATGACAGCAATAATTATGACAAAATTGGATACCTGCCATGGTAAACGCTGAAAGTAGAGGGAAAGAAGCTCTTCATAACTTTTTAGCAAAACGTATCGAGTCCAGTGAAGTCGATTTGTTCGATCCTATTCCAAAAATGAAGCTCAAGACTTTTCAAGCGATGAAGGCGAAGAAGTCTTGTAAGATTAAAGATAAAAGTGTTACTTTGAAAGCTGACCGAGATATATTTGCTCGATTGCTGGTGATACGTGGTAAGCGCGATGTATCATTACAAGAAGTACTCGCCTACTCTTTGGGCCCTATTCCATGGTCCTTAGCGACAACCGATGGTGGTTTGGTTAAAACTGTAAAGTCTAAATTGCTTGATTCTTTAGAAAAAGATGTTCCGGATCCTTTGCTTGATACTTTTCCAGAAAATTGTGTACAAGTTTTTGATGGTATGGTCATCATTCAGCAGCTCCCATCTCTCAGTTTGGAAACATTTGGTGAAATGTCCGAGTACGTTTTAAAGCGTATTACATCTCACGCAGCACGTATAGTTTATTTTGCCACAGACCAATACCATGACCAATCGTTAAAAGGTAGCGAGCGGCAAAGACGTGCAGCTGCTGGCTGTATTCGTGTTCAATTGACCAGAAGAGAACAGAAACGGCCGAAGCAATTTAAAAGTTTCTTTGTTATGGTGTAAACAAAATCGATCTTGTGAAGTTTTTTTTAAACGATTGGTCAGATCCCGAGCGATTCAAATCTACTATCGGAGATACACTTATATTCTTCACATTAGAAAGTCGATGTTATCAGCTTAGAGTCGTGGACAACAAAGTAGTATCAAAGTTAGAAGAAGACCTTTGCTCCAACCAAGAAGAAGCAGATACCAAAATGTTTCTCTGTTGCAACCATGCAACTCAGCTCATTCCACATCCAAATATTTGTTTATCGACTGTTGACAGCGATGTTGCTATCTTAGCCGTGTATTACAAAGCACAAATACCATGCAATCTGTTTGTTCTGATAGGAATAAAGGGGAACAAAAGAATCCTTGCAATTTCGAAGATTTTTGACTGCATTGGTGAACAACTGGCTGTCGCTCTTCCTGCTCTACATGCATTAACTGGTTGCGATTCAACTAGTGCGTTTTTTGGTATAGGCAAACAGAAGGCATACAAGATCGTAAAGATCTGCAAACGGTTCCAAGAAGCATTATCAAAAATGGGAGAAACGTTCGAGTTCAATGAAGCTCTCTTCCCGTAATTCAAGAGATGATTGGTGAGTACTATGGCATCAAACGCTGTACAAGTATCAACAAAGCACGGTATCAAAATTTTGTACCAAAATAAGATCCCTGAGCCACAACAGTTGCCGCCCACCGTCGATGAATTGCTCCTTCATTGTCAGCGCGCAAACTATGTGACATGCATTTGGAAGTTAGGTCTGACCCCTAACTGTTATGCTCCCACACCTGAAGGACACAGTTGGCAAAAGGTTAATGGAATATTGGAACCTAAATGGATGAATCAAAAACCTGAGCCAGATTCCTTACTGGAGTTCTTATCCTGCAGCTGCATAAAATCAGGATGCCAAAACAACCGATGTATATGCATTGCAAACGTCTCGAAATGTACCGACTTATGTAATTGCACCACGTGCACAAACCAATCACAAGATGAAGATGATCTTGACACATACACTTCATTTGACAGTGACGAGGAATAAGAATATATTCTCTATTTGAAATCATTATTAGTTTGCAAACAATGAACTACTAGCATAATCGCAAAAATTCAAAAATTAAATTGTGTGATAGAATAATTTTGATGTTATGCATGCTACACAGCAAATGAA